AACTGCGTTCATATTTTGGTATTCTGGGTTGTGACACCGTGTAGTCTGGTAGGTTGTTCGAATTATTGGTGTCCTGGGTGTTTCATTTAATTTGTGACACATTGACAGTGCTGTCAGTGTCTCGTGCTGAACAGAGTCGAATGATGAGTAATGACTTGAAGTGAGGCACGATCCCAGTGTCCGGCTGAAGGAATTCAGGAAAGCTATGAAAATCATGACGACAGTTGGTGTCCCCGCCGGGATTTGAACCGGTAACCATCAGAATACAAGCCAGAAGCATTTATCGTTTGAGTTAGATGCAAAAACTGAATAGTAACCTTGCCATATATTTAGTGTAGTTGGTATAGCGACTGGCTACGGGCTGAACGACCGAGAGGTCGGAGTTTGAGTCCCGGTAGGGTCAACAATTTTTTCTTCTCCACGTCGTCAGACTGGCTCCATCCAACCTCCTAGCCAATTGCTGCCGGGGGCTCTTTCCCCGGGGGTAAAGCGACAAGGGCGTGAAGCTGACCACTCTCCTCTAACTAGTGCCAAGGTTAAGAAATTGTGGATATATACATCCACTCCCCCATACGCCTTATGGCGCAGTGCTTAATTGGTTAAGTACAGGGACAACTTTAACTTTACCTTTATCATTCACTGCTACGTAATCTTGACAGTTGCAAGTGTCGTTAAATAAATGAAGAACACAGGAGAGCAGCAAAATTTTGTTGTTACTTAACGATTATAGATCAACTGCAGACGGTACTTGGTGTCGAAGGGTAAGGGAGCATGCGCAATGAGACTTTGGTGCCGAAGAGTCAGACGCTCATGCCGTCAAGTCGGGCCATCACCCTGCCGCGTTTTGTAGTGTGCTCCGTGTGTGCGGGAAGTAGCGCCTAGCTGAGCGTGTAGATTCTCATCTGTAAGACACAGCAGCTCGGGTTAGCATTGAACTCGGTACCAATAAACGTGCTGTTCCGGACCGGATGTAATCAATTGATCATGCCTGCTGACAAAGCCGCGGTGCCGCTCGGTTGCTCTTCGTGCCACTTATAGGCCTTAGATCAATGGAACCGGGTTTGGAACTCGGTCGTCCGTGTGACTAAATCAGCGCTGCCTTGCTGAGGTGTGCATCTGATCCCTGCGAGGCTTGAGGGGAGAGGAGGGCATGAAGTTCGTCTTCCAGATATTTCCACAGTGTTAGACACGGAGCCGATATCAGTTCTGTGCGATTCGCTGCCCTAGACATGCATCCGTATGGAAAATGGCACGATTTCTGATTACCGGCCACGTCAATTTGAAGTTCCCATCGGGGATCAAATGTTCATTCTAGCAGGGTTTGCTGTGTTAATTAATTATGTGAACCCTGAAGTTCATCTAAATAATGTCTAAAAAGCCAGTTCTACCTCACAGAAAACTCACAGAATCTCAATTGCGAAGAGCAACCACATAATGCTGTTTAGGGATGTAATCGCTGTTTATTGTGAGAATGGTACAGTGTAGGCAAAATAGTTGGTATATATAGTTACCGCTGTGCTTCAATTGGTTAATCGTATGATATAAATTAGTGCAGAATGAGCGCTTCGCGTGGTTCGAAGTAGAACGGGCAGGGCATTAGGCCTTTGAAGCAGAGAAGCGTACATGAGTGCCATCTGCTGTGAATTTATGAAACTGTACTTTTTTCCCCACCGAGTGTATTTATATACTCGTACTTCTCGGAATGAAGGGGGCCGTGTCACAATTGAGGCCACTGGTCGCCGGCTTCTCACCCCTGCGCCCTGGTTTCGATCCCAGGTCAAGTTATGTGAGATTTATGGTCGACAAAGTGACACTGCGTCCGGTTTCCCCTGTCAATTTTCATTCCAACAGTTGTTCACATGCACCTGTCGCCCTCGCAACCACGCTGCATAATCTCAATACTGACAGCAGCGTTGAAATAACAAACAGCAGTGATTATTTCCCTGTTAATCTTATAATGTAGACTCAATCTGTTTTGAAATTCAGAAATACTGTTCAGATGTTCAGACAACTCGGTAAGCAAGTTCAGACCGCTACCTGCTACAGCCCTAGTTGTTTACGTCTTCTCCAGAACTGAAGACGACGCAGCGATATCCCAGGGGGCCTGCCCCGATGCTGCAAACCAGTGCACACTCTTTACCTTAAAAGGGCTGGGATAGCTCAGTCGGTATAGCGATGGAATAAGGGCTGAATGGCCACGGTTCGATTTCCGAGGGGGGCCAAGAGATTTTTCATTACTCCACAGCTTCCAGACGGGCTGTGTAACCC